ACAGGACTCAAAGTTAATGGCTGTCTTTGCTAAACTCTCGGGAGACGATCCCGGCACGATCACAAACATTTGCTCAATGAAGGAAAATAACCATTATACCACGTCATCGGTCAACAAATACATCGCCAAAACAAATATCAGACATCACACAAATAGAATTAGACACTGGAAATAACCGCTTTTTTTTGCGAGATCATGTATTTATTTTCTATCCCTAGCAATCGACACAGAAATCATCCAATTTCGTTGAGTTTTTTGCCAGTCTAGCCACAGCCGATGCAAAAATTATACGATTTGGCAACGTTTATCAAAAACGCCATTAAGAAAAAGTATGAGTGACGCCCACATAATAAGGTAGACGATAACTATTGCCAAGATGGATCACATGACCCTAGCGAGACGGACATCTTTAATACTCAGTTGTGAAAATCAACGACACTAAATAACAGTTTCGGAAGACTTTGTGTAATTATAAAGTCAGGTCGGTAAAGTTTTATTTGATGTTATTATTGTTTTTTAATCATGGTCAGGTATGCCATTTATGGTGTACAAAGAAACACCTGTCTAAAGAGCGCCCGCCTTAATAGGTGGTAAAGGAAATGGATCGCCAATAGCAATCATTCGATTCCCTTCCGTCATCCGTTCTCGTTTTTATTTATAAACTTCTTTAACTTCGATAAAAAGACGTAACTATTTTAAGTAGGTATAGTAGTGACCATGGTCACTGTGATTTTCAACAACACAATTACATGTAATTGTGTTGTTGAAAATCACAATCGAACCTTAAGAAACCACAATTGTTTCTATTTGCTATGGATTTGAATGCGTACTTTCAATTTTGCGGTTTTATATCGCAGAACTATGTCATAAATTGTCCATAAAGCTAGTTTATGCTATGTTTGCTGACCAGTCATTAAATTAAAAAAGATCAAACATCTTAAAAGGATCTGATTACAGATATCGTACCTCCAATAAGTGATGCTAAACACTACACCTAGCATTTCGAAAAGGATGAAAGATATTTTTGTAATTGGGTACTTTCCTAAATCAAAAGTAAATTATTTCAACAGTTCAATTCAATAAAATATTAAAAAGCTTTCATTAATTCATTTTATGACCAACTTAATTTTAGAATCTTAATAAGTATTCTGTTTGACGCTAAAAAACGTGACGTCACAATACACAACCCCGTATAAAATTCGTAGAAAACTGTCGTTTTAGACAGTTCGAAAAAAGTATTAAATTTGATTTCATGGCAAATACCCAATTGAAAATCCTAATGATGCTTACCTACTTGCTACTAAAACAAGAAACAATTACTGATTACTCAAGTCAGTCAAGTCCCTTAATTAATTTGATGACTGTAATATTGATACAAATCAATAAAGCGAGACGAAATCAAGTTTTTCAATAGCAACTACGATTATTTGACTTATCCATTAGGTATATAAGTATGTAGTTATGTACCTATATATATTATGTTTATACTTGCTTATTCAATAGTTACATACGTATGTGAACATGCTATGAATATTCAAAGATAATAATAGACAGTACATCAACCTGCTACAATCTGTCCAATTATTTCAACGGATTTTTAACCTTACGAGAAACTAATAGAGCTGATAATCTAATAAAGAAAAATGCCAAATATGAGTAACTTGAGCTGCTTGTATCTGTACATAGAGTTAAAAGGAAGTTTATTTTGTATGTTTATATCTATTCAGGGTCTATGATTTGACATGTGCCATGTTGGTATATGTTCCTGTCCTTACATGGTTCGTACAATATAGGAATGTGATATCACGTATCAGTGTTCAGAATTAGGAAGTTACAATGAGTGATTTGATTGACGGATATTGATAACTTCAAGATAATATAGTTTGGTGCTCCCGAGCTATGGTAATGTTACAAAAAATGCCAAGTTGCTTCAATACTCGTAAGCGGGACCGAACCAAGAGTCCGAGTTGAGTCTCGAGTCTTGCAAAGTCCTATCTAAACCACTAGTGCAACAACATACATAGAAACAAACAAACAAACAATGGTACCCGGTAAAAAGCGCATTTCATATAATATGATAACAAACTTTAGCATTAATAACAAAAAGTGCACATTTGCATACTCCTTTAGGTTTTAAAAATCAGGTAGCTCTGTAGGTATCTCAGGTTAGAATGATAAGACAAAGAAATGAGTGACAGACTTCTCTCTTATTCAGGAAAATACGATCTATTACCAAGGACATATAAAAATAGATTCACGATATACTTGTCTAAACTTAAGCTAGTACTTATGTCTGTCAGTATCAAAGAAACCGCAAGCAAAAACATCTCTATGAGTCATAAGAATTTCCACCCTATACCGACTTAATAGATTTTATTATTCGGTACATCTTTTTTGATAGTTATTGACAGGATTAAGGGTCATAAAAAACGGTAAAAAGAAATATAGATATTTATTGTGTATCAAATTTTAATGAGAACACCTCTTGATAATTAAAATTGAAATAAGTAGGTATTCATTTGACAGCAGATCCAATACAACTTCATTTTAATGAATTACTTGGAATTAGTATGTAGTTTGATTCTTTAATAAATACATACAATGGATTGGAATAATATTAGTATTTGTCTTTGAAATTGCGTTTTTGTATTAAAAAAATTAAACGATTTTTTTCGCAGTAACCATGCAATCAATGCATCTTTTCCAACGCAGTGGCAGTTTCTTCTTAAATAAATCAGCTGGACGGGAGGCAACTAATTCTTCAAAGGCATTTTCTACTGCCTCTCGGGTATAGAATTTTTTTCCGAAAAGTACTTATATAAATTCTAGAATACAATGCCATGGAACATCACATGATCAATACATAGTATAAAACAAAGTCGCTTTCGCTGTATGTCCGTATGTATGCTTAGATCTTTAAAACTACGCAACGGATTTTGATGCGGTTTTTTTTAATAGATAGAGTGATTCTTAAGGAAGGTTTGTATGTATATACATATTGCACCCGTGCAAAGCCGGGGCGGGTCGCTAGTACATAATAAGATATTTTTTTAAGGGAGGAAAATCATCGAATGATGCTCCCGCCTGGGTGAGGCGGGAGGAAGTGCCAGACTCTTACTGACTAAAAAGCACCCCGTTCCTTCTCCTGCACGTCGAGCCGGAGCCCCGGTTACACGACAATAAGATTACACAATTCATATAAAATAATTTATTAACACTTTCTTAAGGTTTTAGCAATACACTTACCCATATGTTACACCCTGAAAAAATAGGCTTGCTAATCATAAAATTTATTTTTCAATTGGCCTCGAACCTTTTTCAGCACAAAAAGAAACCATGTTACCTCTTTCGAATATTGAAACAGATAACTAAATCAAAATTCGACCATCTTAGTTCATCAATTTAATACAAAGTTTTACATGCAGAAAATATGTTCTATTCAAAAAAATTACATGATTTTCACAGACAAGATATAACTAGATTAGCACGCGTTTGTCCAGCTTTGGATGTGTTAATTTTTTATTATTCCCTTAATTTTAATAAATATTACTGCTATGTAGCTTGGAAACCCAGGTACAATTTCTGTCTATTACATCCTTGCTAATATTTGTACTCAAATTGCGTTTCGAGATGATGATCTTAAATTACAAACGCGAATAATTGAAGTTATGAAACCGCTTGAAATTGCTTCTCAAATTAAAATAAACGCTTTTGATAACCAATTGCAATAACAATGTAATATGCACAATATTATATGTACTTTACATATATTTTTTTATGGCGTAAGCCGGTAAACGAGCAGACGGATCACCTGATGGTAAGCAATCGGCGTCGCCCATGGACACCTGGAACACCAGAGGCGTTGCAAGTGCGTTACCGGCCTTTTGGTGATTAGGAGTTTGAGGATTATTGGGAATTCAGGAATTGGGCAGATTGGAGAAGGGGAAGGTAATATGTATTTAATATATAACTATCGAGTATTTTAACAATTATTAACAAATGCTGGAGTTTGTAATATTAAAATGTCACATTAATTAAAACGACGACAGTTTTTATACCTTTATTAAAAACAAAGAATTTCATCTCTAACTTCATCTAGGTAAAGATCAAATTGGCATGTAAACAACGCCTTGGTTTCCATCCAAAGTACTATGTTCAATAACCTCTTTAATGATGAGACTTTGACAGTAAAATAACCGATAAGTCAATCAGCCATTATTGCAGACTTTAATTAACTGGAGATTGTGTTTTCTTCTGATTATGCGTCATCATGTTCCAATGTGTTTTCTCTTTGATAACACAGACGGTAAAACCAAGGTTACAATGGTATTAAAAGGCAACCTGAATAATAAACTGCTCCTAACTGCTAATTGTCTCATAATCCGAAGATCGTAAGATTGCAAATGATTCAAACTATTAAAATGTTTTGAGTTCTAGATGAGAAATTTTATGTACGAAAGAAAATTCACGAATAGATGTTAATTCTCAATACAGATATAATTGCCTGTCTTATCTTAAAATCAATAAATGCATACCATTTGTTGATCAAAGATGGAATGAAATGGTTACATTCAGAGACTTATTTCTTATTGAAACGAATCATCAATGCCATTATAAATATCAGTAAATATTCATAATATTTACCTACTTTAAATTGTTTTTGAGTGAATAAATAAATATCACAGATTTAAATCAAGAAAAAATATTTATTAATCATGACGATTATTATCATACAATACATCAATCTACATATAAATAATTATCATAACACAAGCTTACACTATATTGTATCAATTACTCTAAATAATATCAATAAAAAGAATTTTAATATCATGGTTATTCATCACATAATAAATTAAATAGTAAACAAACATCACAATAATATTTGTCAAATTTAACATTAAAACACCTCAGATGTTATTTAAGGTGATTAAAATACTTAAATTAACTTCAAACTACACTCGCCTTTTGAGTCAATCACAATTAATCACAATGGTATTAAATAATTATCTTAAACTAATTTGCAATAACTTAAACTTCTTAAAACTATCATCTAACGTAGAATAGATATAATACTTCTCACTTGAATAACTCCTCAGGCACAGGTGTGTATTTAAGACCCGTGTCGTTCAGTAGAGTCACCACCCACGCGTCCTCAGGGATCAGCCCTGACTCCAACAACTTGACAGCAGCCGCCACGTTGGCGCCACTAGTGTAGCCCACGTACAGACCTTCCTTCTCACCGACCAACTTCATATATTTTACTGCCTCCTCATCAGTCACACTCAATGTGCCATCCATATGCTCAAATTTGAACAAATCAGGAATCCAACCATATCCTGATCCCTGCAGCAAGTGAAGAGGTTTCGTGATTGGGCACCCCGCGATAGCTTCAGCACCAGCCGGCTCCACGACATATGTCTTGATGTCAGGGTTTTGCTCCTTCAGATACCTTGAGGTGCCAGCAAATGTACCAGAGGTACCCACTGTCGCTACGAAAGCGTCTACGTGGTGTCCTGTCTGCTTCCAGATCTCGGGTCCCGTGCTCTTGTAGTGAGCATCAGCATTGGCCTCATTGTGGAATTGGTTAACGAAGTATGCATTCTGTTCCTCCACTATTTTCATGCCAACCTCTTCAACAGCTTTAACATCAGCGTAAGTTACATTTCCGTAAGTGCCTTCAACTTGATCTACTCGAACACATTTTGCACCAAGAGCTTCCATGTGAAGTGCCCTTTGAGCGCTGTTACCTTTGGACATGGCGAGTGTCAGAGGATGTCCCAACACAGCGCACACCACAGCCAGACCGCAGCCTTGGTTGCCGGAGGTAATTTCCACCACAGGTTCACCAGGTTTCAGCTCACCAGATGCAATAGCACGATTAATCATGCTCAACGATGAGCGGCACTTGATTGATGCACCAGGATTCATAAACTCACATTTTGCCAAAATGCGTCCGGGCCCGGTGTAAAGGCGGTCCAATGCCACGAGGGGTGTGTTGCCAATCAGCTCGAGAGCCGATGCCTTGATGTCGCCCTCCAGGTATTTGGGTTGTTCGTTCTTCTCGATGGGAGCCATTGTTGCACAGTTGGAGGTAACTTTAGTAGTTGGTTTGAAGCGCTTTGAATAAGCAGATACCTGTTGGATACTGAGTTGTTCGAATGCGGTAGCGTTGTTATAAAGCGCTCGAGGAGATCGCGTCTCGTGTGCACGTCGTCACTCGGCCCGGTGCGCGCCGCTCCGACTTTGTCGAGACGAGCGCAAACCTAGAGCCCGCTGAGTGCAAACACACTAACGAGTCTCGATTGATATTCTAACTGACTCCCCAACGCAGTTAAAATTCAAGAGTCGAACAGTTTATTTAAATATTCATTATTAAGTGACGATAATTGTTTATGAATATACATTTAAATTGTTATCAGTCGTTGTGTTGAGCCGTTAAGATAGACACGAGGCTATTCTATTTATTAATTTTAATATACAATCCCATGTTTGTATTAATGGATTTGTGCTATCGTTGTTGTGTTTGGCACAATGAATATGTATGTTGTGTTTGCTAAATAATATATTTTATGTTAACGAAGTTTGAAGTGCACATAGCTGCGATAAAAGAACCGTGTATATAATGTATGTACGTAAGTGTCGTCAGTGAAATTAAGCAAATATTGTGATTTTCCTGTAGTTGCCTAGTAGTAGAGCTTCGTTTATAGTTTATTGTGCGACAGTCTGTAATCATTGTGGTTTATTCTTGATACTGTATTGCCTTGTTGACTTGCCTTACGTTTCTGAATTAGAACGATATCACCAGGTATCACGGTTTAAATTTCCTTGAACCCAAATGAAGTCTTTCTGTTCGATATGAATTTGACCTTTCTTGCTACTTATGTATGACCTCTAATCGATTCTATTTGTAACTAATAACATTGTAATTTAGGAGTACATAGTTTTATTAAACTGAAAACTATTCGTTTTCTTGTAAAAAGGAGTATTTAATCCGACCATCGTCAAATAGAGGCGTGATTATCTTTCATTAGATACCCAACATCGGAATATATCTAATCTACAACATTTCGTAAGGTGGTACGTAAGCCATTTCTTTAACGTTCATATTATTGCGTCATATTAAAATGGATTAAAATGTTACTTAATTAAAAATAGCTCTTGGACTCTTGTGGCGTGTTTGTGATTGTTTGTAAACGACCGTTGAAGAAAACCCTTGTGTAAGACCATACTATTTTTATTGGGTACTCCGAATATTCTGTTAAATATTATACATAAAATAAATATATATGTAAATAAAAATAAATATACAAAATACGAATATACAAATCAAAACACATAAAATTATAGGAGGTAATTTTGAGCCGTAATATATATTTGAAAATATCATTGAAAGTAATTTCATTTCATGAAATTAAAACTTTGAATTCGGTCTTTTATTTAGGCTATCTAATTAACTATAATTAGAAAGGATAAACATTTACTAGATTTATATTAATAAAAGGACATATTTTCCTTATAACTATCTCAACGGTACCTAATTAACTTAACTACAAACATTAAATTCCGTTGCGCAGGCGCCGATCTTACACAACACTACGCCAGCGGGCAAAATACACAAAAAATACAAATACATAGTTGTTAGCCTTTGACGACTGAGCGATTAACTCACAAGTGGCAATCCGGGGACATTCGACTATTTAAAGCAGGATTTACCAAAATAAACTTTAACATCTTACTACTAAAGCTTATATTCCTATACTCTAAATTCCACATCAGTGATAGTAGGGTCAGAGGAATTTATACTTTAAAAATAAACTGATAAGATTCATTTATAAATGTAAATCACTGGCTGTGTGCAGATGTCATACGACTAGGGTCTATTGTTAACAAATACGGGTACAATTTGCGAACAATGCAACACATTATTTTATTTGATAGAGGCAAGTAACGCACCAAATGTCAGCTGTTACCTAATTGAGACATCAATTGAAAATAGAATCAAAAATATGGCGAGTTTGCGAACAAATGTCACTTTATCACTTTATTTGTAAGCACTTGATGTGCGTGCAATTTTGTTTGCCTTTTACATAACCTATAATTAAAGTCTTCCAAAGATAAAAGTAGCCCATGTGCTTTTCCAAATTAACTATAATACTATTTTTATACTGCCTCGTTGGCCGAGTGGTCGCAAGTGCGACTGCCGGGCAAGGGGTATCGGGTTCGATTCCCGGGTCGGGCAAAGTATTACTGGGTTTTAAAAAAATCTCAGTAGTCGCACGGAGTCTGGAATTGTGCCCAGTATATGGCAATAGGCTCACCCCCTATTACATGGGACTCATAACATAAATAGTGAAAAGTGGGTGTCACATTGTACAGTGGCATAACGTGCACCTCTGCCTACCCCCTCGGGGATAAACGGCGTGATGTTATGTTATGTTATTTTTATGTTAGCCCTGTATTTACAAACATACAAATTCATAATTATACACTCAACAAAACATACATCGAGATTCTGAACAAGAATGTTTGGATCGCAATGGCGACATGTTGTACAGCAGCCAGTTGTCTAATTACTGCGCCAACCGTGCCGTTAATCTAATTGTTAATCAATCAAAACATATATTGTTTAATACGCATAGGTATTTAAAAACTATTTAGATATCAAGATTCATATATTATTATTACATGGGACTCATAACATAAATAGTAAAAAGTGAAAATTTAGTGTCGTAATGTGCAAACTGCCTACTACTCCAGGGCTAAAAATTTAGATGTTATGTAACTTAACTAAATAACCGCTGTATCTGCACAGTCATTTCATCATCATCAGCCTCCCCTATTCATTAATTTAATTTCTTAATCCAGTCTCAGGAATAGTATAAGTAATTAAATATCTCTGAGTACGGTGGTTAACAATTTTGTGTATGATTTACAGATTGTTCTTGGTCTAGGCATGATGTCTCTGTGTGTTTGTGTGTATTTGTAAATGTACCCACGACATAGAAGAGATCGTAAAGACTTTACTAGATTTTTTTTTATTCTAACTATTTAGGGGCTTTTATCACAGATATGTCAGCCCCATCGTACCCTTTACATTACTTTACGTACTTAATATTGACTCTCTTGATTAATTGTTATTCGTGGAGGACCAAAATCAAATAGCACAACTTTTTCATAATCGCTGTATACAATGCCTATATCTGTACGTAATATGAATACAATGCCTGTAGACATCAAATTTATTTATTTTAAAATCCTTCACGAATATCTCACGTTCTTCTCCATTCCGAGCACACTCCATCAGCAAATGTTGGACTTCTTTAATTTGACCACAAAGAGTACAGTTAGGAGAATCGGTCTTTTTCATAAGAAATGAGACTTTACTAGATAAATATATTTGATAGGCTCATGACACTATCGTTGAAGGAAGTATTTTTTATGTACAACATGTCTATTTCAAAATAGATAATTATTTTTGAGATATATTCTAGTCCGGAATAAAGCCGATACTTTTAACTGTCAATACATACATATGTATACTTAATCTTTCAAGTAGGTATATCGTAGATACTGGCAGTATAGTCGACCACATTGTATTGGAGACTCGGTTCCCATTCAAGAAAAAAAGGTATTTCGTACATGGTTTAGAACAACGTCAAAATAATTTTCAAAAATCAAAGCTTTCGACTTGATTTGGTACTTGAAACATCGACAGATACAAAATAAATAATAGTCTATCAGTCTATCCGTCAGCGAAGCTAGGTGTTCGTTCCAAAATTTAGATTCGAATGGAGAAGAACGAAATAGAAACTCCATTCGTTACGCTTTAAAAAAATATGTTTTACAATCTCTCTGATTCATTATCGAATATTGTACATACATATATGTGAGAACAATGAAAAGATACGCCTGACGCATAATACAAACAACTAATATAAAATTATAAAAAAAAAAAACAAAAAAGCTAAAGTCTAACATGGTTCTCACTGACATATTCATACTGACATTCCATAAAAATAGTGATTCTATACAAAAAAAAGAAACTCTTTGATTCAATAATGACGGCACTTTTAGCTACTTGAAAAATATCGATTTGAATCGCTAAATTGAATATAATCTTTAAACTATTAAAGCAACTTGTGTTTAGGTACTTTTCCAAACATTTGATTTACTTATGGCAAAATATTTTTCTGAATTCTGTTTTACATCTTAGCTGTCCATACACATCACTCCCGGATCCAGAACAGCAATTTGTGAATTACACAAAGAATTGTTCCATGCGTGAATCGAACCCATGACAAGTTGCAAAGCAGCCGGTTATTCAGCCTCTGCTCCAACCGTCCAATAAATATTATTAATAGTGAAGATATGTTATATCAGTTGCTTATCATACAATACTTAGATAACTTAGTCAGTTGGTGTATCATCTATACCTACGTATAATAATATGATGAACTTCAATAAATCGTATTTAATTGTTATCAGGAAACACACCTGTTTAACTTATCTCATACAAATTCTATAATAGTTTTCATAATTCGATTTATCTTAGTCTCTCTCAATATTAATAACGGGGTGATGATGAATCATTTAATCACTTTAAATTTAATTTAATCACTTTAAATGATTCATCATCAGCCTGTCTTCGTCTACTGCTGGACATACGCCTCTTAAGGGCACGCCACTGAGCTAGCTCGGTCTATAGCTCTTCTTATCCAATCACTGCCAGCCACCTTGCAGATGTCGTCACTCCACCTAGCTGGAGGGCTCCCTATACTACGTGTGCCTAGACGCGATGTCCACTCTAGAGATGAAAACGTGTCTTCGACAAATGTGACCGGACCACTGCCACTTCAGGTTTCTAATCCTTTGGGCTATGTCTATGATAATTTGGTTTCCCATAAGTAATGATAGGAGAATCATAATTATGACAGTCATCATAATTTTTACTTTACGTAGGGGTAGATAAAATTTTTCATGTAACATTCAGTTTTCGATTCATGTATGTATGTACTTACATACAGATTAGATATTATATAACTGCATCCATTTTTCGTTATACATTTCATTTCCATTCTTTGTCTTTCAAAAACAATCATCTTCAGAAAAGTTACTCTTTATAAAAATAATAATACCATTATAAAAAAAAATTAAAAGCAATGCTGCACGCCACATGATAATTTATTTATTTTTTAATATAAAATTTACATACTCAGCCTCCAATCCAAGGCAAAATTTAAATAATAAAGTCTTATATTATTATCTTTTAATTCGTTTATTAACAAAATAAATAAAATTCCTATAAAAACGTTTGTTCGTATGTTGTTTAATGCCTTATACCCTATATTGTTATGAAAATTGATAATAAATATTACAAATAAATACTATTTATTAAACGCCTACCATCCTGTCGTACTGAATCACAGGGACCAGACCTGACTCCAGCTGCTTGACAGTAGCCGCCACGTTGGCACCGCTTGGTGTAGCCCACGTACAGACCTCCTTCCAGCCAGACCACAGCCTTGGTTGTCAGAGGTAATTTGCACCACCGATTGACAAGATTTCAGTTCACCGGATTCAACAGCATCCTTAATCATTGTTAATGAAGATTTATTTGTATTTTAGTTTCGTATTCAAGATTTACTTTAGACCGTATTATGTAGTACCTACCTTTTTCGACATCGATTTTTCTCCCTAAAAGCAAATTAATAATCTTCATTCCACATATATGAACCTCATTCTAGCCTTCTGTGGTGAACATTGTTTTCAAGTCCTTAAAACCTTTTACTTATTTCACGACTTTATCGTCTATTTTGCCTCTATCGCCTTTGTCTTATATGTTGTATTCCTATTTGCCATATTTAACTTAACCGCCAATAGTGCAAATAAACTTGACCATCTACATGTAGAAGATTTTTTTTATTACTTAAATATCAGTTGGCCATTATTTTCGTTCTAATCAGGTTTTCATGACTCTAAGAATTTGTCGTATGACCAAAATTGGTTAATACATAAACCTATTAAGAAACTTTTTTGTGAATTTAGGGAGCAAAGACTGCATGTAAAAATTTAAAAGAACGTGTTTATAAAAAAACTGTTAGATAAATAAGCAGTGATATTGATAACGTCAATGATCGATCAAGTACTGATTGACTGCGTTGACACATTTATACAGTGCACCGAGATCTATAGCTTCTTATCTCTATGTTGAACTTGAGATAATAGATATGGAAAGTAGATAATATCCCACAAACAATAAGTACCAAAATAATAAAACTTCACTTAATTACTTGTGATCTTAAAATGAACTAATATTTGCAATACTAATTATTTGCTCTTACGTGGCGGATGTAGAAAACCATTTAGTCCTAGCGATAAGTCAATAGAAATAAAATTTACTTAGGTGCTTCACACATTAGATTTATTTATAAAATTACCAAATTGTTTAAAACATTTTGATCCATTTCTTACCTTGCTTAGGAGTTTATCACTTATCATTAAATACACGACTTAATAAACCTATGATAAGTAAAATAATATCACAAAATACTTTATACTATAGATATTAATGTCACACGATGTTTACTACACGATACACATCACAAACAGTTATTGCACTGTCACTTTTCACTTCATTAATTCCTCTGGTACTGGCGTATATTTGAGTCCAGTGTCAGCCAGTACTGTGACCACCCACGCATCCTCTGGCACCAAGCCTGATTCCAACAGTTTGATAGCAGCCGCTACGTTGGCACCGCTCGTGTAGCCCACGTACAGACCTTCCTTCTCACCGATCAACTTCATGTACTTCACTGCTTCCTCATCAGTTACACTCAATGAACCATCCATAAGTTCATATTTAAGCAAGTCGGGTATTAATCCATATCCTGATCCTTGAAGTAAGTGAAGAGGCTTCGTGATTTCACAGCCTGCAATAGCTTCTGCTCCAGCTGGCTCGACCACGTATGCTTTTATGTTGGGGTTTTGTTCTTTCAAATATCTCGATGTGCCCATAAATGTACCAGCAGTGCCGACTGCTGCTACAAAAGCATCTACGTGGTGTCCAGTCTGCTGCCAGATCTCAGGACCTGTGCTTTCATAATGAGCATCTGCATTTGCTTCATTGCTGAACTGGTTAACGAAGTAGGCGTTCTGTTCCTCCACCAACTTATCACATACTTCCCGAACGACTTCAACGTCAGCATATGTCACATTTCCATAGGTTCCTTTAACTTGATCCACTCGAACTACTTTCGCACCAAGAGCTTCCATATGAAGCGCCCTCTGAACGCTATTGCCTTTGGACATAGCCAGTGTTAGAGGATGTCCCAACACAGCGCACACCACAGCCAGGCCACATCCTTGGTTGCCAGAGGTAATTTCCACCACAGGTTCACCAGGTTTCAGATCACCAGATTTTATAGCACGGTTAATCATGCTTAACGATGAACGGCACTTGATTGATGCACCAGGATTCATGAACTCACATTTCGCCAATATTCTCCCAGGGCCACTGTAAAGGCGGTCCAATGCCACAATGGGCGTGTTACCAATCAATTCTAGCGCTGACGCCTTGATGTCACCCTTCAAGTATTTGGGCTGTTCATCTTTCAGGTTCTTCTCGACGGGAGCCATTATTACACGGTTGGAGGTGAGCTTGGAGAAGCACTGTCAGCACAAGAATGTTGTCCGGAGACTGAATCGTTTGACTGTGATATCGTTGTTATAAAGTGCTATCAAAGAAAACGCGTGCCGTGTGCACGTTGACTTAGTCAGGAAAATCACAAACTTAAAACGGTGTGCAACAAACCAATGAGCGACGAACAATGACATAAACATTCATTACTACTTTTATATGAGTCTTAGCAATAAGGTAAATAGTAAAATGAATAAATATGTTCATTGGTAATTATGAAAGTAATTATTAGGTTAAGATAAGTATTTACTATTTAAAAGAACAATAATATTCCCGTACGTCTTTACGTAGCTAAGAAAATAATGTTGTGTCACGATAGTCAACAATAGATATTGGATAATGGGCATGTATTATACGTTTATGTATTCTGTGGAAGTGTGCCAACAAAACAGTGTGTCTCCTAACATATTTTGCTAGTCTAGTTATCCACAAACATAATTATAACGCCTAGTAAAAACTGAATTTATGAACATCTAGATTATTGCATGTAGCAAGTCCTCAAGACCACATTCGTAGACTCTTTGTCAAATCTCTCTAGATAGTGAGTGGAAAAGCAGGTAGTTCTCCTTGACTCCAGGATATTTTGCCTCCAAAAGGATATCCATAACAATGTTGTGTTTTTCTTAGTAGGTTCTACCAGAGAAAGGTATTGATCCTATGGAAGACGAAGCTTAAGCAACTCCCTATAAAGATTTAATAACTTTTTTATCTAAAAGAAGACCTTCTTTAACTCTCCTCCTATACTATAACATTTATTAGAAAAGAGATTACACAGAGCCATAATGATTTCTAAAAATAGTGTTTTATTTAGTACAGTTTGTAGTCATATAAATAAATATAAACATTATTATCTATAGAATCGTTGTTTTTATCTCTGTGCGTTTCATAATCTTTTATCGGTCACGGCACACCTCACTCACTGTTACTACCTTTAATAATAAAATTACGAATATCACCAACACTATGCATTATTTAACTCGTAACTTACGTGTTTTTTATAGCATAAGCTGGTAAACAAGCAAACGGATTACCCGATGACAGACAATCGACGTCGCCAATGGACACCTAGAACACCAGAGGCCTTACAAGGGCGTTACCGGCCTATTGGGGATTAGAATTTAAGGATTGTTAGGGATCCAGGTATTGTTAGGGAAAGGGAGGGGAGCATTTAGGCCTCTAATCACCTCACTCACACAACGAAACACAACCTTGCATAAACTTACGCTTAAATAAACTCACGCGTCAGCCAAAAGCTCCTTAATAATAAGCTTGGGGATTACAAATCGGCGTTTGAACATTTTCAGAACGCATCTGTCGGAAGACAATGCTGCTGCCTGTAGAGAACGCTGCTCTAGGAAAGTAAAATTGATTAATAAACTGTTATGTTAATTAGAAAGTTTCTTATACTACATTTTACAATTAGATTCCTGTAGAATTTCCTTGTCATCAACATCAAAGACATTGGTGGCCAATCAGTCAGTCGCTTGCCGAAAAGAATAATCAAATGACCTTCCTAAATAGAACTTCCTAGCACACAATACACTGGTATAGACTGTACCTAAATAGATGTGTACCTACTGAGGTACAACATCTATTTTTCTACATACGAAGACCACCAACGTCTCTATTACGCAACAACTTACGAATAATGTCAATAAAAAATCAGTATCCTTCAATTGTTATACAATAAGTCTTATTTGGACCGAAAATGTCGGATTCCCACGGGCGCAGGTGCACCACTGAGGTTGCATACAATGCTGAGCTCGCTCGCATTCCGACGAATACCGCGCACCGACGCACCATAGATCGTGACTTGTATTACATGCTACGTTAAATGATACGGTTCTGGATTCGGCTTAACTTAATATTTGTATCAAAATATTTTATTGCCCAACAAAGCTGTCTTCACACAACTTTGTTGCAATTCGATATGACATTAATTGAGGGAATTGAATTTGGAGTAATATCAACAGAGTCTTTTTCACTGCAAATGGTTAAATCTGAATGTTATTCTTATAGGAAAATATGAATTAGAAATTGTGATGGTTTTTACTGAGGTATGACTCTCTAACCTCTATGCTGTACCTATTTTCCGGTAATGACTGGTAGTGCTACAGTCTCGATCGTTTCCTGAACTCTGGATGATGTATGCAAATACTATGAAGTACACTTTCCTTATAATACGTTATTTCATTAATTAGATAGAAGCCATTGAATGTCCACCAGTGTGGCTAGAAATTCGACTGGTAGATGTACTCTCCGCAACCCATATAATCATTCGGTTTATTCATCTTCTTAGCATCTCTTCACTGTAAAAATGTATAATTTGAAATCTAAATAAATAAAAAATAATTTCCGTTCGTTATTCTCGCTAAAACTTGTGCACAGTTGAATCTATTTGACTAATTTTAGTCTTTGAAGTGTTCGTGGAAGTCCAGGAAAGGTTGAAAAGGTGGAAAATCAGTTGGGTAAAAAAAATTTTGAGGCTGTACGATGCTTGCCGGGCTTACGCTTGAATACTTTCAGCTAGTATTCAAGTAGAACCTTTTACCTAATTACTTCGATTTGTTTTCTTTACCACAAGATACCAGCAATTAGTTCACAAACGAGTGCCCAGCCTACGTGGCAAATACCAATGGTTACTAGTGACAAGGAAATGTTGTAATTGAACTAAATGAAACGGTTACAAGTTACACCAAATATCGTAACGTGTTATTGAGTAAAGTTCGCGCCGGTGCTAATCAGTCCCTGTACCTATATGGTGAGGTAAGAAATGCCACCGCCATGCCGTAGTGGGTGCCGCCATTTTAGCACTAGTTTCGTGATTTGAGAACAAACGACTAGTGTATGTACTTACAATGAGGTACGGGATACGAGATATATATGTACTAGTGAACTCCGGGATGTTATTGTCATAGGATTCGTACATGTTCCCGGGATAAAAAGAAGTTAACCTCCTAGAGGCTACAACAAATAAATTTATTTCTTTTCTGAGCAAAGCAAGGATGAGCTGCTTGTTATTTAATATAGGTATCTAACTCATAACGGTGTTATTTTATATTGCACTTAAATCACTGTAATGTTTCTTTCAATATAGAAGATGACAGGTTCATATAAATATATATATGTAGGTACGTGTTGTTAAGTGACCGGGTTAACAGCCGGTTATCTCGAGTTGTGCCCTTCAACGAGTTTAATATTATTAATTCAATAACACACCACACAACATATGTATATTACGAGTCGAGTTGCTGTATATGCGATTGCCGAGCAAAATAATTTCGGGGTGCGACTTCTAGGTCAAGAAAATTTAGTATTTTTCTTAGGGTTTTTTCAACTTTTTTCATTCTCATTCATATATGAGATCAAGGCGCTTACTTGAAATTAATCTCAACGTTAATTCAATTTCAATGCAACGAAATCTCAATAATTATTCAATATCCATACTATACAATCCCTCTCGTCTGACCCGGGCGGGGCTAGTATTGCAACTAAGAGTACCTCACAATATCAATGTCGATCGATCGAAATTAGATTTAGGAGTAAGACCTGGGGGCTTACCTTCCCATATCTCACTGTTAACCATCCAATACAGTCATCGTTCTTTATCACTAAATTATCCACGCTCTATCTTCCGCTTCACTCGATGTAGCTTTTCGTAATTTTGCACACGTTTCAAAGCATTTTCTCACTTTGTCGTTACAACGAGAATCATATCTGAACTTTATCATTCCACTGATAAGATTTGATTTATTTTATCCATGAAATGAACTCATTTTTACTATAGAGGTTTCTGATTATTTTATAGATAGTTGAAAGTCGTGTGCAAAAGATCATTTCCTTTTTTTGTTACAAAATTGATATAAAAGCCTACTAGAAAGAAAGTTGGAAAATATTATTATAGTCAAGCATAATGCTTGAACTACTTCTTATGCAAAAAAATGAGAATCCCCGTGAAGGAATTGGACAAAAGCTTTTACTTAAACTAATATCCACATGACATTTTTAACATACATATCTAAAACTCGACTTACACATATAGGTATCTACACATATTTAAAATTATCATAATAAAGTAGGACGGCGATATCTCAATAGATTCGCTAGTGGAGTGGTGCGCAAATTTGCACAAAAACCAGCTTGTTTTGCTCACGGCTTAGCGTTTGCACACGAGTTTTTGTGCGTAAAGCAAAAAAGATAACGATAACGAAAAAGTTCTATTATGTGACGATGGCAGTTGTTAATGTAGTGTTGTTGTTTAAACAGAGGTCAAGTGGATCTCTTGATATTATCGGACCTTTAGAACGGATCAATGGATCCATTACGTCATAGTGCCGACGTGGACAGATAATTGGGTTTAGACACTGGCTGGTCAGACACTGCTCGTTTTGTGTCTATCAGTAGCTTTTTTAATGTTTATCAACAGTTACTGCCAATGTAAAAAGGAAGAAGTGAATTCTAAAAATAAAACGAATTTAAGGCTAATCGAAAGTAGCTGAACTCGATGACTGACACTTCCGAAATTAAAGAAGTTGTCGAGGTTGATCACGGACAACAAATGCCGAAGTTGCTTATTTGAAATCGAAATATGAATAGGTATTACATTACTTATTTTCTTGGAACTTTACTGGGTAATGTATCGTGAGTGCAATCAAATTATTTTCACTTTGAATTTTTTTGTTGACGTTCAAAAGTGCCTTTCTGGTCTAATTGAAATAAATGATTTTGACTTTGACTTTGACAACAGAACGTGTGATCAAAAGTTAAATTGAACATTGCGACGATTTTGGAGTTCAATATCAATTTAATTTCAATTCGTTTCCAATTTTATGAAACGAAATATATCACAGGTAACATCATTATCGAAATATTTATTTCATATAAATAAATTAACATTTTACAAAGAAACTTATAAAATACATTTGTACCCTATAAAAAAACGTCATCTTCAGAGGAAAAAAAAGAATTTTCACTTTTTTATTGAAGACAAATGATATTGACATTTAAAAGACAACAATAAGTGGAACGCACGCCGAAAAGAAAAAGAGGCTAATGTTGGTCTCGCTCTGTGGGAATCAAATCACGACTCACGCGCACCACACCGCTGTGAAAGGATACCGGGACCACGGGCCTCATACAGCGTGATCAATTTTGTTTTACTTAGGATTAACGAAAACTTATAAATTATCGGCAAGATTGCAAAGATTAAGTAAATAATAAAATTATGAAGGTCGGTGGAGATTCCAGTCTGATATCATATGACAGTCTGGAGACTGTCATATGATATCTTTTTTTCTATTAAACAACATACATTTTCCTCATGCTACGACATTAGATATGATAGTAAAGATAATGAAGAACAACGGAGAACAAAAACAGTACCGTATATAGAGAGAAAAAACAATAAATTCAATTGTACAAGAAATCAACGTAGAACAGTCGAGTTAGTCGAGTACAGCACAGATATTAGAAAACACAAAGCCTTAATTGCAAAATAATTAAACCCATCCATAAGAAAGTTAACAAAACAAAGAGAACAGAACAAAACGAAAACATAGCCAGACTTGCTTTGCGCTGTCCTCGTACTCTACCAATAAATTACGAACGGCCTATTTAGAACATAAAAAGAGCATGCTGTAGAAAATCCGTGGGCAGGTTCGGATGCACCTGAGTATTTCACACCGCGACTCACTGGCGCCGACGGCCAGTCTACTATAGTCTGTGACCCAGCCGCATAGATACATAAACACACAGACATTACAGGTTATTTCAAAACCAATGATGATACTGAAATTGATTAGGATACTGAAGTCAGTGTGAAGGTTATGAAGATTAAACCCAATAAAATGTTTAAAGAAGAAGTAATATTAGATATGGTTAAAATTATACTCGTAGATACGTACTATTATAAGACAGTAATGCTAGGGCAAAGTTTGTAATAAGGAAAAATACAACACAAGTTATTAATAGCAGGTACTGGTTTACAGACAATTCGGAAACGAGTGCAATGTAAGAGGCTGAATACTTCCGGAACCTTGCTAAAGGTTGCATGTTTAATAGGTCATGTTTTGAACAGGCAGTTACAAAATGGCGTGAGGGTCAACATTTATTGCTCTCTTATTATTAAAGATAGCCAAGGAGAAGATAATGAACAAACAAATCATTGGCATAGTTACTGTAAACGAGGTTGTCTGGTCAAGCAATAAAATATTAGCAGCAGCTGCATACACGTCTTATAATAGACACTCAGAAATGTGGTTTAGATATTGAATTTAAGTATTTCATACCTTTTACCAATAGAATTTATAACATAACATAACATCACGCCTTTTATCCCCGAAGGGGTAGGCAGTAGGCTGCACATTATGCCACTGTACTATGTAACACCCACTTTTCACTATTTATGTTATAAGTCATATATGCCTATTGCCATATACCGGGCACAATTCAGGACTCCGTGCTACTACTGAGAATAAAAAACACCAGTAATACTTTGCCTGCCCGGAAATCGAACCAGAGAGCCCTTGCCCGGCAGTCGCATTTGCGACCACTAGGCCAACGATGCAGTCAACGAAGGACCACGTACAATTTATAGTTTTTATAAATTAGTTTTACACCAAACCGGACAACATCACTACATAATGTTTTTAGTTTCAACGAATAAAATAAAGCAATAATAAAAACAGAATAACATTATTAACTATCTTGTGTTGTTATGAGTTTTTACTAAAGCCTTTGCAAAACTTGCTATTTAATGTATTTTTTTATATCCTAGTCGGGTCTAAACTTTATGAAGCATAGCCACCCACTCGCAGCGAGTGGTGTCGTGGTCCATAATGGTATTAGTGCATTCCGAGCGGCACTGTGGCTCCGATGAATGCTGGACCAAGCATTGCTGCCCCCGCACCCGACTCCAGTTACATCCACTATATTACACAATAAACAGACACTGGAAATGATTTGCCATTGCATCATGGAATACCTCTAAATAAGCAAGCAGTGACAATATTCTATTCAGTTTATGTTTTGAATTGAAACTAAATATTGGATTTAGAACTAAGAACTAAGTCATCTAAAACTCAGGAAACATCTTTCAGCGCCTTCAGAATTTCGATATAGATTTTTGTGACTTATTTTTATAATTTTATCTCCATAATGTTTGATGCCATCGGTAGGTTAGGTGTCGCATTCTCTTGTGCCATGTTTTTCATAATAATACAAGAATTTCTACTCACTAGTCACAGTTTATCACAATTTGTTATCGCCAAAAACAATTTTATAAATAATGAAGCCATTTATAAAAATTTTATTCATAAGTCATCTAAGAATAACATTAAAACATGTTTCAAATATGAAGCTACGTAATAATGATTAACTAATTCTGAACAATTACTGATTTAATTGCAAGTTTTACGTTTCTTTTCATAGAGCTCTTGAAACACTTTCAATCTTTGAGGATAGACATCGTATTTCATGGTCATCTCTTTGTCTATGACGAGACAGGCAATACCCGTATCAGCTATAGGTTCCCACTTCGTCGTCAGCAAAGAGTCGACTTTCGGAGTTGGGTCTCTGAAATAACATAAACGACACCTATATTAATTTATCAAAATGACAACAACTTACAGTAGTAGTAGTAGTAAGTAAGTACATGCATTTCTAGCTAGATAACAGTAATCTAATCTTAATTGAAATCGACATTATAAATTTCGTAAACAAAGCAACTCACCCGTATCGTGCAAAATTCGCCCACATTTGATTCATAGAATTCCGGACAAGTATGTCTAAATCGGAGATGGGTCCATCCAATTTATCGCTCTTTACAATATACCCGCCATCGTCGCCGTGACACGCCCCCAGTCTATCAATGTTGAACAATTTTTTAAGATAATTTAAGTTTCCGTCATAAGAAAATTCGTAGAAAAAGACAGGTGCATTATGTTTGGAAATTAATTTAGCTGCGGTATAAATACCACCGATGAAGTCGACATCTGAAAAGAAATCTATTGCGTATTCGTCTTCTTCTTGGTACATTCTCTCAGCTTCCAGATAATTTTTCTTCAGCTTCAATTCTGTGTCAATTTTTTCCGAGACATCTAGTTCGAACGGTAAGTAATCCACAAAAACTTTTTCCTGAACGAATTTATCCAGAGTCTGTTTGTTATGCGAAATCATTAGCAGTCCTTCTCTAGAACAAAATCCTGTCATGTATGGAACTTTGTGAAATTCACCTCTAGCCAATAATTCATAGGGTAGTGTACTTAAAAATGGTTCCCAATCACCATGTTTTTCTACAGTAGGTACAAAACCAAAATGAAGGCCTCCTCGTGCTTTTTCCGTTGCCAAAACAACCATAGATGCCGTAATCAACTCATTCGTAGGCATATCTTTTAAATATTTCAACAGTTGATCGTCGTCGGTGATTACTTTACCTTGTAGAATCGGTATCTTGTAAGCAAGTTGCTTTATGTCTATCTTATGAGCCCAGTGCAATAAAGAAGACCCAGACTGAGCAATGGCTTTATGAAACAGACCTTTAGACAAAGGTGACAAGAGGAGTAGTTCGACGCTCGAAGCACCGGCACTGATACCAAATATAGTAACACTGTTAGGGTCTCCACCAAATTGAGAGATATTTTTCTGAACCCACTTTAGTGCTTCGACTTGATCTCTCAACCCCATGTTACCTGGAGCCTCTTTGCGGTTCAACGATAGGAAACCGAGTATGCCCAGTCGATAATTGATACTAACAATGACAACTTCTTTTTGGATTAGGTAATCTGGACCGTGCGCTGAGTCGTCCGTTCCATTGCCGAATAGAAAACCACCTCCATGAAGGAAGAACATAACAGGATATTTTTTATCGCCTTCAGTGAAAGATTTCGGCGTATAGACGTTTAAGTACAAGCAATCTTCATGTCCCTTAACTCCTTGTACTTCTTTGTCGAACTGTGCGCATGTGTTACAGTCTTTGGTCCCATCTCTGACGCCTTCCCAAGAATCCGGTGGCTGAGGTACCTACGAACAAAAATAACACCTTATAACGTAAGTACACAATAAATGAAATATACTAACATTACTTTTAACTGTTGCAAACATTGAGTAATTTGTTATCGCATACGGAGAATCGTATGATTTTAGTAGCGAATGTCAAGAGTCTATACCTTAATCACTGGTTTATTAAACGAAACTTAATCAGTTAAGCAAGAGATAAAAATTAAAACATGGTAGGTAGATAAAAGTGGTATATTCATGCTTATGGTTATAAAGGAATGTGACATCATCTGATAATGACGATAACAATTTGTTTAGGCTTTTTTACGCACCTGCGCCCTATGAAAATAGGTAGGTAGGAATTGTACAATTGAAAGTCATAAAAAGCAAGTACAAAAAATTCTAGAATCGAAATATTGGGCGTTATATTGTCTCTAACTACCCCAGTGGGATATAGGGGTGGTGTATGGTAGCGGTAGCGCATCGGAATCTCAGCATTATGTTGTGCTACATAACGATCAGTTTTCATTCACCGATTTCATTGAAACTAAAGACCAAGGTAAGTTAGTTTCGTTGACCCAAGATCAGTACCTAAGCATTGTTGATGGAAGGCAAAGGATACTTGCATTCACTTCGCCTTGGACGTGGAACTGATTTGTTTAAATAAGTTTTAAAGAAATCTAAAACCTTGGTAAGAAACTATTTCTCTAATTTCATAATAAGATTACTAACATAAACCTGAGTTGCGTGTATAAGTAAAGTTTGAGTACAATATCATACAATATGGATTATAAAAATGCGCTAGATAAATTCTAGTCTATACTTACAGAAAATCTCAGTTCGCCAATAGGCGGCTTCGCATAAGGAATTCCCTTGAAACTACAATACTCGAAGTTATCGAAATTCTTTAGCACCTTCCCCTTTATTTTACCCTGTTCAATTTCCACAATCTGTTCACCCATGATTTAAAAAAATAAATATACACAACAACTTAATACACCACTGTTTGCACAATTGATACGGACTCTACAATAATATAACCTCAAAAGTGACTTACGAGTATATTTCACTGACACTAGAGCGATAGCGGCGCTCCTTCGCTTGTTAACTTGGAATGTAGTTCGTTGTCTCCAAGGTAGATGGCGCTTGATTAAACTTTACATCGATATTTAACACGAAAATTGCGTTTTGAATGTACCGATACTGATTACAATTCGTAAAACCAATTTATATTAGATAATATTTAGATTATAGATTTATTTCATTATTTGAAATAATATTGCTGAACTATTTTTACCTGAAGCTCGTCTCCTACACGCAAAGTAAATTGTCACATCAAGCATCATTCAAACAGTATGCAAGGAGATATCTATAGTTATAACAGTTTACAGTTGTACTTATTTGAAATTTTATTCTACAGAAAGTTTGCTAGAATTCAGAAAATAAATTGTCATTAAGTCGCATCATGCATTTCCAAAAATGATTTAATTAATTAACTAAAAGTCGCGGGTTACTCACGTGAACATACTGAGAAAAGCTCTACTAGTTTCGAACCACAGAGGGCCAGCGCGCACGCTGCTCATAAGGAAGAATCCTTTTCAGTATTTTCACGTGTTTTTTAGTTAATTTTGTATGTATATGTCATGATAGGTATTATAAAAATATTTACTTATTAAACTGTCAAACACCAAGCGGTCACCGGTGACCGCAACCTATTGTTCTATAATTGTGTCTATAATGACGGTACTCGACGAGTTAAAGGAGTTAAAAATTAGATAAGTTAGACACTTAATAACTTAAGAATACAAAAAAGTTGATCTGAACTAACCAACAAAGACATTATAAACCGTATCTTTACGACTAATTATTTTAAACCAGTTATCAGAGTCTTCCAACGAACATTTGTTCGAATCATTGATCTTTGTTTCGGCACTACAATTAGAACGCTTCACTAAACTGATTCGAATCCCGCGCAGGCGAGATAGCCGGATGCGCACCTGTGTTCCGTCGCCGTGTCGTGAGAACCGACCACGATCTCTGCCACAAACTCCTTCATAATCCTCATCTCAATCAAATCAATGTACTTTAAACCTTATTTCCTTGTGTTAAGGATTTCATATTTTTGTTATCCGCAAATAGATCATGGCCAAGTTCATATAAGGCCATACAGAGTTCCCTGTTGTGCCATGTTTGTTGTGTTATTTTGTACGCTTTTAACATCCGCGCTATTATCGCAACTTTTTATCGTAGATTAACCACGATTGTGGAAGAATTTCACAATTTCTGTTTTAGAGTTATGACTTAGCTTTGGTGCGATTGAAAATTGTTCGCTGTAATCTGGGGGCATGTGTTTAGTTTTAAGAATGTCCGGACAACTTCTATCCTTATACTCATTGAAAGATACATGATTTGCTAAAAAATTCAGGTGACAGATCCTAAGTCTAAATAGTATTTTATGCCAAGCAAAACACTCTAATAAGAGGATAAGTAGTTATGGTTTATTGGTTCCTAAGATTCCAACAAAATATTGTAAATTTTGGCAAAGCAAAGCAGACACCCTACACGCACACGTGAATAGTTTGCGAAATGCTGTGTTGTTCGTGTGAACCCGATCACGACCTTTTTACGGTTTTCAGACCGACAAAAAGTATTTGAATTATAATTCATTGAATCAGCCTCCATACCCGGATTCCTTTGAGCCAATATTGTCTATTTGTTGTCGATATCAATACAATTAATACGTGTGTGAAAATATCGGCGCCTTTTGTATTTTTTACACTAAATAAGTAAAGAGTTGTAAACATATCGTATGAATTGAATAGAAAATTTGGGTTAATTCACAGTTTACCTATGTTTACTAAAATGTTTAAAAAATTATTCAAAACTTTTGGTTGTTTTGAAAAAAATGAACTTTGTTGTAAACAGAAGATCTTTGTAAAGTATTGGGACTAATTGTGATTATTTCTTTCTAATCTTCATAGTTATTAGGCACATTTAAAGAAGGTAAGTATAATCAATAAAAAGGATATTTTGAGCATGTCCTAAAAGAACTTACCTAGCTCTGGTTACTAAAAGAGGTACCAAAAAAGATAAAAAACCTTTTGTAATATCGGCAAACATCAATAGGTATTGTTTCTAGGAAGTTAAGGTCAATGCGAGTTTCTTCAGTAATTCATAGCGTATCGTACGTGTTGCGTGATTAAGTGTCAATTAAGTATTCAAGAGCCGTCAGGCTGTATTCGCGCTGGACAATGGTGGCTGGGCCGGTCTGTGCTTTCATGTGACCGCGCAAGCGCGGAGGCGGCCATAAATCGCGATGCGCGAGCGCAGCTCAGCTTCTTTTGTATGGAGTAAGTTTGTCCGCTGTGCGGACAAGGAATAGTAGACGTGTGTGGGTGGTGCGGCGTACAATTGGTGCGCGCGCAGGTGTGTCCGAGACTGGCCGGCGCCGGCGCACATTCCTTCGGCGGTCACGGCGCCGCAGACTGAGTGCGTACTTGATGATTGCGGACACCGGACACGACTCATACGCGTTCCCAAACGACACTAACGTCTAAAGTATTCAATATAAATTCTGTGCGTAATCGCTGAGACTCGTTGTCAATCAAACATGTCATTCAATAAACATTAAGTATTAATTTTAATAAACAAATCATATCTGTGTTTATTCTCTGTTTGTAAGGCATTCTAGGTAGGGAACTCAAGTACATACTTGCGTAGAAGGAAAGAAGAACATCATCTGTATTTTAACGATTTAATGATTGTTAGACAAGCTACATAATTTCCAGCAGTCCTAGGCAATCACGGCAGACGCAGACCACAACTGTAGGTTTCTCACGTAGCTTTCGCAAACAGCAAAACTGTGGAATGATCTGTCGTCGGCGGTATTTCCGAACCGATACGACCTTCAAACCTTCAAGAGAAGAGCGTATTCCTTTTTAAAAGCTGGCAACGCACCTGTGAGTCCTCTGGTGTCCATGGGTGGTGCTGATAGTTTACAATCAGGTCGTACGATCCGTCTGCTCCTTCTATTCAATAAAAAAACAAATCACGACACATCTAAATCGTGACACAGCTTGAGATAAAGTTGATAAAACACGAAAGTAATAAATTACAAGTTTGATAATAGTAAAACTTAACTAATAAAGATATACCAAAATTATTTTACTAGTAATCGACTATATTCAAACAATAACACGACTAGCGCCACCTACGGACCTTAAACTGCACTATTCTCAGTTGCTAAGTTGAAACTCAAAGCACTTATATAGATGGCGTTAGCTCTTAGTTATATATAACAAAAACTTATTCATTACTCTACATAGTATAATATTTTTCTGAGTTCCGTGTTTTTTGCAGATAAACTATTAAAGCGTTACTCAAACTTTATGACCATTACTTTTAAATAATTACTTGCAAGGATAGGAATTACTGACAACGAAATTATAACATAAGTTTACTTAATAGGGAAGTTAAAACTTAAAAGCTTAACCGAACATAAAAGATTACATATTGTTCACGTCAGCAGATTTCGAGACATTCTGGAGCTTGATTTAAAGTTGGTACCTATAGTCACTTATAACATCCACTGCTTTCCACGATTTAACGTATATTACAATAAAACACATACATTTCCCGTTCATACAGATTTATACTGAACAAAAGAATAGAAATCACACAGACATATTATCTCAAGGATCTTGTGTAATAAATAAATTAGATCAAAGTTTGAGTAAAGCTGAACAAGTTTTATAAAAGGAACTTAAATTATTCGTGTGACTAAGTACTCTTCCGTCTTCGACTGCAGACGTTTCAGAGCAAAGAATAATATTATTAATATATTTTAGAGTTGAAATGACAACAAGATTGATAACAAAACAGGGTGTCCTAGTTGGTGCAAGAAGAAAAACTAAAAATGACTTTGAATATGATGATTTTCTCAACATCCCCTACGCTAAGCCTCCTGTCGGGGAACTACGATTTAAGGTAAGGTTTAAATTACTTACAACTTATGTTAAACTAGATGTGTACAGTTTGATTCAAAAAGAGATAGAAATTCCATTAATAATAGAAATAACAGTAAAAGTTAATGTATGTACTTACGATACAGACTAATCGTATGGTATCTCATACCATTCCTAACTGGCGAAACCTGGATGTCTTAACGTACATATACACAAGGTATAGATGATTTGATATTTTTCTTTGTGTTTTTTCAGAATCCTCAACCACCAGAACCGTGGCTGGGAGAACGAGATGCTACAGTTTACAACGAATCCAATCTCTGCATACAGTACGACATTTTCAAACAAAAAAATCGTGGCAGTGAGGATTGTCTCTACGTGAATGTCTCCACACCGAAGGTGCCTGCAGCTGGACTGTTAGCCTTACTTCCAGTAATGGTGTTCATTCATGGTGGAGGTTTCGTGTTTGGAAATGGACTTGCGAAATTCGAAAATGGGCCAGATTACCTAATCGAGCATAATGTTGTAATCGTCACTATGAACTACAGACTCAGCGCCTATGGGTTTCTGTCTCTTGATATACCTGAAGCCTCCGGAAACATGGGGCTTAAAGATCAAGTCATGGCATTAAGATGGGTTCAAGAAAACATTGAGCATTTTGGAGGTAACAAGAATGACGTCACAATTTTTGGCATCAGCGCTGGTGCTGCCTCCGTCGAATTTCTCATGATTTCTCCTTTAACGAGAGGTCTATTCCACAGAGCTATCTTGCAATCTGGATCAGCTCTGAACCCCTGGGCATTGGACAGTCCGGATAACATAAGAAATCACACTTTAAAACTAGCGCAAGAACTGCACTATCAAGGACCCTTGAATGACTACCGGGCTATACATAATTATTTGATGAATGTTCCTGCTGAATATATTAAATTAGCAGCTAACAAAGCCACTAACCCTTCACAAGTAAAAGGAGTTTATTTTGGATTTGGACCAACAATTGAAAAAGATTTTGGAAACGGTGAAGCATTTTTAACAGAAAACCCATATGAACTATTGAAATCTGGAAAGTTCACTAAAGTACCTGTAATGAGAGGATTCACTGATTCTGAAGGATTTATTGAAGCTGGTACTAAGCCACAAGATGTAAAAGAAGTGACCACGTTTAAGAATTATATGGATTTTTGGAGGTATCCTTTAAGTACAAGCGATGCGACATACTATAATGAAAAATTACGACAGGCTTACGATAGTTACACAGGAAACGACATCGAAAGACCAGCTATCGACTTCTTTGGAGAATTTGATTTCGTTAGTGGTGTAATTGCGAGTTCGAAGCTATTAGTGAAGCATGGTGTGCCACTCTACTTATACGAGTTCACGTATGATGGTAGCCTCAATTTGCTCAAAGCTTTGAACGGAGTAAATAAAACTGGAGCTGCACATGGTGATGATACAGCTTACACGATACAAATTGAGCCTGTCCCGATGTTAACACAGGATGATGTTATTGTTAGAAACAGAATTTCCAAGTTGTGGACTAACTTTGCTAAAACTGCGTAAGTATTCATATACTTAGGATTAGACCCGCTGGTCGCAAGCTGACTGTGTCGGTCGTGTCGCTGGCAACCGAAATATATGAACTTCTGGAACCGTGTGCGCGTCATTCAAAAACGCTTGCTAGAAGTTCATATATCTCGACCTTAAGTGCTGACGGTACGCGGGCCGTCAGCGCAGCGTCAGACTAAAACCAGCCTTACTTATGTAGATCACATAACATATCTATTGAAACATTGTTTTCTGAAATATATGTAGATAGAGAAATCATTTAGATCATCATTTACATGTTACTTTGGACCCATTTCATATATTACGATAATTATTTCTTCATTTTAACCTGTTATCTGATATGTAACTATTTTTAGGCCTCACAAAATTCCAGGGTTTACAGAATGACTTGATATTTTGGCAATCGAAATACCTACTCAACCTTTTTTATTTATTTCTAGGAATCCCACTCCGACGACAAGTCCCCTGCTGCCACTGCTCTGGCCGCCATACAGCAGCAGCGAACAGTTCTACATGGTGATAGACAAAGATATGTCCATCAGAGCCAAATACGCTGACGAAAGAATGCAAATATTTGAAGAGATCTTAGACAAGTACCATCGATAGACGGATCAAAATGAGATTAAATTCTAAGAGATTATCTTCTTATGTAATGTACAATGTATTTGTATCCAAGTTTTGCCAAGTTTTTTTAATAATCTTTGTGTAGGTATTGAAAGTTTCCCCATTTAATATCGAGTATAAGTATTGTTTTAACAATGCTAATCATTATTGTATGTAGGTACCGCAGTAGTTGTCACTCAGTAAGTAAGCCTATTACTTACATCTCACATACACAGCTAATATTACTTTTCTGTACACAGTAGTACCTAGTTGCAAGTAATGAGACATCATTACTTGCAACTGTTTGGTAAACGAATTTTTAACCAATGGAACTTTAAGGTAGATGAAACAATTGTGTGGAAGTTATCTCATGATGTCGATTTCCTAGTATTTAGGAAGTAAGTCTAAATCATAGTAATCTTAGTATTTGTCTTTAATAAGCAAATTATATGTATATATACATACAGTCATTACATTGACGGAACTATGGGGCAATATCTCACAAAAACCTAGATGCTTTATGTGTTTTTATTAAGAAATCAAAGTACCTACGGATTTTACCAATGTGTAATCCGTTGACTACCTATTGTATGTATAGAAAAACTACGTCCATTATGTGTTACTCTGTGCCGACATAAGTCAGTTACATCATAACAATGCCATTACAACTGTGTTCTACTCATCTTTTTGTTACTTATGAGTTTCTCAAACTTCTCATGAGAATTGGATTTTATATAAGTACTTTTTTTCGTGTACTTATTGGTTATGAAAACGTTTTTACGACATAAAAAATCATGTCTGGAAGAAACTATGTTTATACCTAATAGGATAACGATTGAATCTAAAGATGCATAAACTTATTATACTTTAACTCAACCTTTTATATTCTGACAAAAATAAATCAAATTGATTTATTTTGTCGTATTTCATGTGTAAAATTAAAGTCTTCATTACAACCCGAATGTCATAGTCATTTTGTACTTACATTGTATGTTACACTTAATATTTAAAATAATAAACTTTGGGAATTTCTGACCATGTTCCACATAATATAAAGTCCAAATTCTAGCAGAGTCACATCATTTCGTCCATGGACTTATAAATAAATAGTGTTACAAAACAAAAACCCATGACGACCAAAGTAAAAACTAAACTTGGCGTCCTTGTGGGGGCAACAAGAAAAACTCAAAATGGCTTCGAATATGATGACTTCCTTAATATACCTTACGCCAAACCTCCTGTTGGATATCTACGATTTAAGGTAAATATAATAAAAAACTTAATTGTAATTAAACATAATATGACGTTAATGAAACTGATTTGATTCAACGGCTTATCTTTTTGCATATTACTAGTATCTACTCTAGTAGAATGGTTGGTTACGTAGTCTATGAAGAAAAACAACTTACTGATATTCATAAACAGATCATACAGCTTGAAACCCAGAGAGGTATCTGAGGTACATACATATTTTAAACCATTTTAGTGAATAGTGAAAAAAAGAGTAAAAAAATAAATAAATAAAATTGTTATTAATGATTTTAAATTCGTTCCAGAGTCCCCAGCCACCCGATCCATGGCAAGGAGAAAGAAATAGCACGGTGTACAGTGAGTCCAACCTTTGCATACAGTATGACCTATTTAAGCGAATACCTCGCGGTTCTGAGGACTGCCTCTACATAAACGTGTCTACGCCGAAGGTCCCTACAGCAGGTCTGTTAATGCACCTCTTACCAGTCATGGTCTTCATACACGGTGGAGGATTCTTCTTCGGAAATGGTCTGGCTAAATTCGAGAACGGTCCAGACTACCTAATAGAACATAACGTTGTTGTAGTTACTATGAATTACAGACTCAGTGCTTTGGGATTCCTTGCCTTAGACATACCTGAAGCTAGTGGTAACATGGGACTAAAAGACCAAGCACTAGCATTGAAATGGATTCAAGAGAACATAGCAGACTTTGGAGGAAATAAAGATGACGTCACCATTTTTGGTATTGGCGCTGGAGCGGCTTCCGTAGAGTATCATGTAATATCTCCTTTAAGTACAGGTCTGTTCCATAAAGCTATAATGCAATCGGGATCAGTACTCAATCCGTGGGCTATAGAAACATCAAATAAAATCAAAAATCTTGCATTTAAATTGGCCCGAAATCTAAACTATCAAGGTGCACAAAACGACTATCCTGCAATATACGAACATCTGATGAATACACCTGCTGAGCAAATAGTTGCAGCGACTTACCAAATCCAAGAACTTCTTACAGCAAAAGGACTGTACTATGGGTTTGTTCCAACAATAGAACAAGATTTTGGATATGGAGACGCATTTTTGACGGAAATACCATACGACCTATTAACTTCTGGACGATTCAACAAAGTACCAGTTATGAGAGGTTTTACCAATTCAGAAGGATTTATAATCAGCGGTCTAAAACCTCAAGACATCAAAGAAATAACTATGCTTCAGAATTATGTTGATTATTGGAGATTTCCTTTCAATACATCTACCGATGCATACTATTACAATGAGAGATTTCGACATGTCTACAACAGTTACAATGGAAATGACACTGAGAGGCCTGCTATAGATTTCTTTGGGGACTTTGAATTTGTCAGTGGTATCATTATTAGTTCCAAATTGATGGTGAAGAACGCAGTGCCAGTATACTTATATAAATTCTCGTATGACGGTACATTGAATCTTATTAAAGCAGCGAGCCGTGTCACCAAGAAAGGGGCTGGTCACGCAGATGACACCGCGTACACGATACTTATAGAGCCGCGAAGGAATCTCACACAGAATGATGTTACCGTTAGAGATAGAATTTCGACTATGTGGACTAATTTTGCTAAATTCTCGTAAGTACCTTTACTTTAACTATTTATATATTTTTCTGACGTAACATCAATGCATATTTTACACTCCTCGATCCTTTTATTTACCTTGTATTTAGTTTTGCTATGAGATTAGTGTTATTCTTCTTTCGAAAATTAACTTGTTTCTATTATTTATTTCAACACATTTACTTCACTGCCTTGTTATTCGATTATGTAGGCATCACAGTCGATTCCCTGGTAGAGTAAAACCTCTGCCTACATCTTCGGGGATATAAGGCGCGATTTTATGTTATGTTATAAATGACAATACTATACATAAATAATTATAATTTTATTTTAGGAACCCTATCCCGAACATAAGTAACCTGTTGCCCATATACTGGCCGCCCTACAGTACCGGTGAACAATTCCTGATGGTTATCAACAAGGACCTCTCTACGTGTTCCAAGTACGCAGAAGAACGAATACAGTTATTCGAAGATATTATGAAGAAATATCATAGATAGACGCTAGGACGACGTTTGAGTTTTTTTTTACCTAATTTTAAGTGTGGGAGAGCCATACTTCGGCACGAATGGGCCGGCACGACCGGAGTGATACCACGGCCTCACAGAAAACCGACGTGAAGCAACGCTTGCGTTGTGTTTAGTCGTGTGAGTGAGGTAACCGGAGGCCCAATTACCCTCCCCTTTCCCATTGTCCCGAATCCCTGAATCCCAACGGTCCTCAAACTCCTAATCCACAAAACGCCGGTAACGCACTTTTAACGCCTTTGGTATTCCAGGTGTCCATGGGCGACGCCGATTGCTTACCATCAGGTGATCCGTTTGCTCGTTTACCGGCTTATGCCATAAAAAAAATAAAAACGAATGGTAGGTACTTTCCAAAGCATAACGATATTATATTGTAAATGTTAATAAATAAATTCGCATGTTAGTTTTATTGAACTATCCAGCCATAACTCTGCATCCGATAATTTTATATACAATGGGATATGCGCAATCATTACAAACCGTACAGTATTTCATATAAGGAATGCTAAGATGCAGCTTTTTGATGATATATTTTATGAAATAAATAAGAAATGAGCTACGCTGCCCAACGAATGGATTGGTAGCGACATCTACTTTCGGAATGAGCATACTTTTACACATAGTACGACTACTCACTACTAGATGGTATTGTTATGTTCACACTCCCGTTATTTCTTAATTCAATGAAATTTTAAACAAGATCTTAAAATTTATATTTTTACTAAAATATACTGTGTATACATAATATCATATATTTTTAATGGCAATTAATCTATTTAGGATATCGAGAAATTGAGAAAAATAAAATCAATCGAAATTCAAAAATGATGTTGAAACCAGGCAACACCATAAACACATGGGTAAAATGAGATGAATGAACAATTGTCAAAATCGTACAATTGCCGGTCGGTACGGAGCTCGAATATTCTAGACAAAATTCTAGATTAAAAAAATCGGCTCACAGTCTGTTTCTTCACTTGTTTCGAGGAAAAATTTGACAAAAGACGACATGTCCAACGTAGTGAAGCGCCTTATTCCCCTGCTCGACCGAGTTCTCATCAAAAGGGCTGAAGCAGTAACCAAAACTGCTGGAGGCATCGTAATCCCTGAGAAGGCTCAGGGCAAAGTCCTGCACGGAGAAGTTGTGGCTGTAGGACCTGGCGCGAGGAAAGACAACGGTGACTTCATTCCTGTACTAGTAAAAGTTGGCGACAAAGTTCTGCTTCCTGAATACGGAGGTACCAAAGTGTCACTAGAAAACGACGAGAAGGAGTACCACCTATTCCGAGAGACCGACATCCTGGCGAAGATCGACAACTAAATTGTGCTAGTTATAGTTTTATTGATTCTGATTCTGTTTAGTTTAAATTGGTACATATTGTAGTGAATGAACATTTGTGATTGTGTAATACGCTGCTATGTTGTGAGATGGGGTTACTGATGTTAGCTATGCATTTCTTATTATAAATTTGTTACAGAAATGTTGTGTTCTTCATTTATAAGTCCCACTTTAGTTAAAATATTTCATCATTCACACATAACCTAGAAATGTCACTGCTGTGCTTGTTCACTTCACATAACCTAAACTTATTTAGAACAAATATCGTTTGTCACAGTTATACACCAGAAACAATGTACCTATAACCTCATACTTAGTAACTGATTGGTGTAATTAATTAGAAATGATAAGCAATAGTTAACATCAAGTGATAACATTGACTTTCAATCCAATTGGAACTCATTTTACTAAGTTCATTAACCTCTTGATTAAGTAAAATTACTTAACTGCACTTCTCTTGTATTATTTTGTAAAATGCATGCTTCAATGAATTGAATTTTTATTCAATTCAGTTCCATGGCCACACCCAGCCAAAAATATTACTGATAACTTACATAACTTAGTTCTTTATTACTGGTGCCTCAATGTATGGTTTGTCTTGATAAGAAATAAAATAAACATTATAAGGCAGTACATAATTAAATATATTTCAAACAAGTCACATCTTTTGTACAACCTGAATATTTTAATTAAACTTAAATCACAGTAAATACAGTATCTATGCAGATACAGCCGGTTTACATATTAATATTAAAATTATTCATGTACATAATATTTTCTGTAAATAATATTCTTATTTATTTAATTTTCTGGATAAATCCAAGTGCAACATGAGAACTTTGAGTGAAAACATTCATATTATACATAATCATGGCAAGCTTACAAAAAAAAAAATTAAGTACATTGCTAAGCAAACTAGCATTGTTTACTAATTGTTTTTGTGACTAAACTTTAGTGAGATAATTAACATTAATACTGAGTTAATTTCAGTTATCAAAACTTATTAGCTAGGTACTTATGACTTATTTATATGCAACATAGCATGCTTACAACATATAAAGGTACATAATAATGGCATATCAATACATCATTAAAATGCATAGTCTATTGTAAAGATATGGCAGTGCGTCTCACTGCGGCAGACAATGCCGGGTTGGGGTCTGGTGGTTCAGTAAGCAGCTGCACAGTTATCCAACAACCATCCTCATTTGACTGACGTAACGCCTCCATAGTGGCTTGAACTCTTTGACCATCCTCAAATGTTGCTGCGGCCTTCACAGGTTCTTTCACCCAATCCGTTTGCTCTTTGACAGGTAAAAACGCTTCTTTCAAAGCACTTATCATTTTACAAAGTCCCTTTATGTAGGGTTTAGGGACAACACTAGAGGTACAACTCAAATCTTCAACATCAACATAAATTACCTCTTCCTTATCATGAGGCCTTTTTCCTTCCTCCTCTATGGACTTTGCATTAGGCTTATGTAGTTTACCATGAAGGTCCCCACCCTTTACCACCAAGTATCCTTTTTTGCTGCACACATATATTTCTTGATTAAAGCACGGTCCAGGCAAATGGTTGTTCAGTGTTGCTGTAACAAGTAAACCTTTATCCATTTGTAATTGGAATGTACAGAAATCTGGTGCAGTAATTTTCCTTATTCCATTCACTTTACTTGTTTCTTCTACGAAAGTCCTCAGAACTCCGTGTACTTTGACAACCTTCTGACCAGTCAAGAAGGACACTAGATCTATAACATGACTACCAACTAATGTAAGCGTTCCTCCTCCCATAGTGTCATCACAGAGCCAATTGTAGGTGTCACCAATCAGTGGACCCATCTGAACTCTAACATCTACTAAAGTCAGCTCATCTGGATTGCCCAAGTAGCCATCATTGATACACTTCTTCATATGACTGAAAGCTGGCAAGAAACGTAAGGAATGATTGACTATTGATATTAGGGTTGGGTAGTACTGAGCGGCACGTACCATTTTCAAGGCTTCCGTTTGACAGAGCCCAGCAGGTTTGTCACAGACAACATGTTTCCCAATACCCAACGCTTTCACTGATATCTGAGCATGTAAGTTAGGCGCACATACAATAAATACTAAACTGACATTCTTCTTCAGCAAAACATCATCGATTTTGTTCGTGAAAAATGGTATCTTCAGTTCTTTGGCAGCTATTTCTGCTTCTTGTAGAGTTACACCCCATATCGCTTCCACTGGAAATCCTTTTTCTCTTAAAAATGGCACCAAAACCTTCGCAATAGCTCCAGTTCCAAAAACCCCAATTCCCGGTAACATTTTTACTTGGCACACGGCAAAGGCCGGTAGCTTCGTAGAAACTTGTACTAGCAGAGCCTCACTGTCTCTAATTTTCCACACAGCATAGTAACGATGTCAAGAATATTGTTTAACAACATTAACACAATTACACAAAAACTTCAATAGAAATAGGACAAACTAAAGTTCGTATTCGTATTCAATGAAAATGAGAACTAGTGTTGTGTACACGACTAGCAATATCGATATTCAAACCAGTGCAAGATATTATATGAAGAGATAATAAACATTTTTGTTAAGAAACGTCATTAATCGTAACAGGTAACTTCATAAACTTAGCAATGAACTTTTCAGTTTTGAAATGAATTTTAATTCAAATAATAACACTAACTCAAACAAATTACTAGAGATATCAATAATACCGATATCGGCAACTGTTACAGGTTCACCCCTCTCTGTCAAACGCAGATAGTTTTGTTGATAGCTGTCAAAATTTGACGTTTTCACAGGTGTTGCAGGTTCCCATTTGTTTTATTTTTACGTGTGGCATTTCAAACTATTTGCGTAAGTCGTCCGAAACTATTTGAATTAGAATTTATTACGTCCTTGCTTTGTAAATAAGATATATTTTACAAGGAGACATACTATGTAAGTAATATTTACATATAGAAGGTTTTTAGGTTTTAAGAGGTTTGCTGATTATTACGTTTTTATTACCTCAACACAACACACAACAATGCTACCGTTACTCCACATGGTATGTTGAGCACACTAGCGCTGCCACTGCACTAGCACTATACATACATCTATTTAGACAAATTCAGCTCCATTGGCTTAATTTAATTTATCTTTTTTAATTTAAGTACTAGCTAATTAACCAGAAATAGGTATACTAACACAAAAAATCTATGACGTCACAGGCCACTCAGGTCAAAATAAATCAAGAGGAGCAAGAGAGCAGATGATCCTAGGCATCGTCGATCACTGACCATCAAGTAATCCGACTGCGTCTATTCTTTTACCTCCTACTCCTGTCCTGTATAAAACATTTCCTATCAATGGGTATGTACTTAAAGTTTCTGTCAGCGTCAGCGTTATCATCATTATCATATCAGCCTTAAGATATCCACTGTTGTACATATATAGGCCTCGCCCAGTGACTTCCAGAGAGGCAGGTTGTACTGTAAGTGACTTTTTTTATGGGGGATAACACAGACATAATCATCCAATGACTTCTCCCGCCTTCTCCGTGAGGTGAGAGGGAGTGTCAGACTCTTATTGACTAAAACCCACCCCGTTCCTACTCCTGCACTTCGAGCCGGAGCCCACGGCAACCCATTAAGTCTTCCGCGGCTCCGTATCGACATCAGCCCTGTAGGGTCCCATCTATGGTGGTCTGATAGCTCCTTGAGGTTCGTTCCCTTACGCGCCCCGCCTCCTCCTTAGCTAGCATGAGACGGCATCCCAGTCCCCCTTACTCCGTACTATGTCCGTTACCAGAGCCGGACGCGAGGGGTCGCCGTCGCCGATCACATCCTTGAGGACACGGCTCTGCTCAGCCCACGCAGTACACACCGCTACCGTATGCTCTACCGTGTCCTCCGGACAGCCCTCGCAGTGATGACACCTGGGCGTTTCCTCCCGCACAAGCCGAAACAGGAACCTACCGAAACTACTACAAGTGTCTAGGCTTAACTATGTATTATAGGTTATAATACTACTATAATACATTTTGAAAACTCATAAATTATTCACATATTCTTAGAGGTGTCCATCGTTATTAATTGTACGCGTGTAAGTGGAACAAAGAATAATATTAGTTGAGTAAACAGTAGCATCGTAAGTCACTGTGTGGCGCTTAAAACGAATCACTTTTCGTCGGAGCGGTTAAATTCAATGCTTTGATATCCGCCACCTGGATGGCTAGGGTTGCTACTGCGCTCGTGGAATAATACAGAAATAACTATTAAGTAGGTACCTTCAAAAAGCGGAAGAGAACCATACGTTTACATTAATAAATTGATAGGTTTGTATACGAGCCATCTGCGGGCCGGTGACCGTAGCAACCCGCAATGTGTGACTTTTCCGGTTTTTGAATGGATTAATTATTAATCCTTTTAATTAGACATTTTTCAAATGTCAAATATTTGTCAGTCCGTCCATCTGTTTGTCAGTGAAGCTAGGCACTCGGTTTAAAGTGTAGTTTCGAAAGGAAGTTAAGGTAAGCCTAGGTACCTACCTAACTTTTGTATATATCAATGTATGCCTACTATTTTCAGAACTCCATACTGTAGATCCTGCAGAATTTTGATATTCGTAAATGGATAATGGTATTAGGGTACCTTCACCTAGTCATTTTTTTATTAGAAATTCAATTATTGATCGAGTTGAAGCCTTTTTTCACGCGACCCAACGGTTAGTAGCAACCCTAGTTGTATCCTATTTGCAGCAATCGTCTAACACCTCACAGTTGGAAGCCGCCGCCGATCATCTCCACAATTAGGGCTGACTGACGAGCTAATATTAAATACAACCCTCAATTTCATTGTAGGTGCAAAACAAATACTTTGTCATAAACAAAACTAACACACTTAATAAAATGTGTTGTCAAGGAATTCTATAACTCTTGAAAGCGTTTTTATTTTTCTGAATTTAAAATATACTTGTAACTTGGGAATCGAATCCTTTTGCTCAGCAATCTGACGCTTGTGACCAGTCGCACTACAAAAAAATAGAATTTTGCAGAAACATAAGCGAACTTCTATTCTAAAATGACGCAAGGGTTCATGCGGGGTGCGTAGCACGTGTGTCAGAGAATTATTCAAAAAGTATTGTATGTCGCGGAAGTGTGACCCGCGCGACTCTCTGTCAGCTTTTTGTGAGACACTTCGACGGCGCTAATTGCTTCACACTTTCTTGGGATTGATTTCATCGTCAATTTAGGAAGTAGACTTTTTGCTCTCCTCCTCCGCCTCCTAATAATTCTGTAATTCATCGGACCTGAAAGCATTTCATATTAGGTATGATTCTATTAAGTCAGCTAGTATAGACAAATACATTGCATACGCTGGTATAGCAAGTAGCACCACTTTTTTTATCATGCTATTCAGTCAGATAGGCTTTCAAATCCAAGTAAGCGCTTAACTACTTGTTAAGTATTGAAGTATTTATGTAAATGTTTTGGTATATTATACCAGCGCAAGGCCCTGTCTTCCATGTTAAACCGGTCCCATTTCACCGCAGACTTAAGACATGAACATGTAGGTATACATCAGCAGCTACTGATAACACTGTTCATGTCACTCGTTTTTTAGCGTGTGAAATAACGATTTTTTTTCTTTTTTTCTATACAGAAGGATATCTTCCTTATAGAAGGAAAAAAAACTATTGTTTGTAACAGTTTTTAGGTGACAATCATGAAAAATTTTCATATCACTCAGAACACTTAGGTACTTAGATTAGTTAAGTAGGTACTTATGAAATAATGAAGGACTCAAAATAAAAAAAGTTTTCAAGCTTTCTTACAACCATGAGTTATTTAGTTTATACTATAGTGGGTAGGTATACGAACAAACGAAAACGAAGAGCTTATATATTTTCCTGTGTAAAGCATCGTTCATTAGTCGAACAGTAATCCTGAAGTTTGTACGGGAGGGGCGAGATTTAGCGCCGCCCAGCGGGCCCGGCCGCCCGCCTTGCGTGCGCGCAGCTCAAATGATGAACGTCACGCTGTAAGACAAGATCGAACCCACCCCTAAAATTGTGCAAGTTTAAAATGTGCTAGTGCAGTGTTAGTGATAATAAATTAATTAAGTGCAATATCCAAAATGCCCAGAAAACGAGTGAACCGATCCCCGCCGGTTGAGAAACGGACTGACGATGCGGATGACGACGATTTCTTCTTTGATGATACTCAATCAAATTCAGGTGAGTAGAATTTTCGTTTTCTAAGAAATAAATTGTTTCACAATTTATTGTAATGTAATCTTTCTCAAATGTCGCTCTCATTATCATTTAGATCCCTACCTCTAATGACTGCTATGGCTTACTGATAACATAAATTAGACAGAATATACGTACAAAATAAAAAAGTGCACTTCATAATCTGTAGTTTCTTATCTAAGTACCAACAATCCTACATACAGACTTCTACATCTGTAAAAGATACCATGGTACCACATTTGGATACCATGCCTAATTTAAACTAATATTTTATACAGTTGCCTAAATGCCTATACAAAATACTTACCTAGGTTTATGATAGTTAAAACTAAAATCCCTTACCATGCAGGTCGCAGTTCACAAGAGCCACAACACAGAAACGCCGCCAACGCACGGGAGCGAGCTCGAATGAGAGTTCTCTCGAAAGCATTCTGCAGGTGTGTATATTTTACGGAGCCGCGGAAGGCCTAACGGATTGCCGGGCTCCAGCTCGAAGAGCAGTCTACTACTGCAATGGGGTAGTTTTTAGTAAGTAAGAGTGACTTTTCCCCCCACAAAAAAAATAAAATTTGATTGGAATTGTAATCTACCTACCTATAGCAAATATAATCTTCCCGAGACTCAAAAATGAATTATCAAAATCCACAAAACACACCAATACCTATTATAAGTATATACTACCTATTATTTTACAGGATATTACATTGTATGCTACATAGCTTTATTTCAAAATATTCAAGTATGTTTAATATCCGTAATACGCAAATGGCATGTTTAAAAAATATAATTATACGTTAAGGTTTTGTTTTTCGAACTAGGTACAATTGGGTATTTGACAATTAGTCAAATTCAATACTTTTTTCGAACTGGCAAAGACGACAGTTTTCTATGAATTTTGTACGGGTTTGTGAATTGTGACGTCACGTTTTTTTGCGTATAATAGCGTACTTATTTCTTAAAAAATTGCTGGAAAAATACTAAAATTAAGTTTTTCATAAAATCAATTAATGAAATTGTGATTATTTTATTATATTTTATTGTATTCAACAGTCGAAATAATTTATTTTTGATTAAGGAAAGTACCCTCAAAGAGTCACTGACCTCTAAGCCTAGTTGGACCTTTGGAAACAGTAGGTACCCACCTGATTTCTTATAATTTGTCTTCCACTCAGACTGAAAACCACACTACCCTGGGTACCAGCAGATACAAAGCTCTCCAAGCTAGACACACTACGACTGGCAGCATCATACATAGCACACCTACGAGCTTTGTTACATGAGCCAAGATCTGCGCACACGCCGCCGCATCCTCTCAGCTTGGTAAGTGAGAGAGAAGACTCAACTTTATTTGTATTAAGCCTTAGTTTATTTTTAAGTACATTGAATCAGTCCGGCTCTGTGTACCCCTTGGGGATTATAATGGCGTGATGTTGTGTATGCCCAGAAATAAACATATAATGTATATTTAAAAAAACAATAAAAACATTGCTAGAATTCAATTGTAAATTAAACATAAAAAAGTAAATTCTCGTAGACTTCGTAGCACATAGATCTACGCTACGGGATACTGCGTGGCTTGAACGGACGATTCCTTGATTATGTTTTTTGATAATCTGTACCTACATACATAATTACGTTAAGTATGCCTAACAAAGGTGTTCTCTGTAATAAATGCCGTAGCCGTAGACCGTAGAGCCTCTACGCTACCTTGCTACGTGCTTACGAACGTTCGTATTCCGTGGCTTACCTTGCTTCAAGACGTTATTGTTGTAGTTTATTATTATTGTTTAATTGATAATGCTTATACAACTATGCAATACCAAAGTAGCAGTTCACTGGAATAGATGCGGTTCCTGCTACGCCGTGAGATGTCGTACTTTGTGAATTAACTTGATTTTATAGTTTAACCCCGTAGGGATGGGCATAGGTGCACATTACAGCACTTAATGCCACAATTTAACTCGTCGAGTACCGGTTGTGTAGACACAATTATAGAACAATAGGTTGCGGTCACCGGTGACCGCTTGGTGTTTGACAGTTTAATACCCACTTTTCACTATTTATGTTATGAGTCCTCTCCTATGTAATAGGGACTGAGCCTATTGCGATATACCGGACACAATTTCAGATTCCGTGCTAATACTGAGATTTTTTTTAAAAACAGAGTAGGTGGTACTTTGAACCTGAGAATCAAGCCCCTTGCCCGGCAATCGCACTTGCGACCACTCGACCAAGGCAGTCTTATTTTTAAGGGGGGGAATGAGCCTATTGCCATATACCGGAAACAATTTTAGACTTTTTTCTAAATAGGGACAATGTAACAATGTAACATTTTATATCACATAAACGCTGCGTAAAAGAATACTTCAATCGTAAGCATTTATTAAGATTATTAACATAAATAGAACCTTGAACTATTTACACTTCAATGACTTGTGTAAGAAAAATTACGCGATCTTGCGTTACGCAGGTTAAATACTTAAGTTTTTTTTTCTCATAACTATTCAATCCCCAACGCTAACTCCATTATAAACCTTATTTGTGATGTTTAGAAACTACTTTTGTATACACATTTTTTTCAGGATTTTCAGTACGATATATCAACGTAATATAGGTAAGTAGGTACCTAACACATACCATGTAAGCACCGTACATAGATGTATCATTTTAACGATTTCAAAGTGATAATAACAACAAACCACTACAACATTCATCAGCGTTGTTGTTGCGACATGTTAAAAGTTTAAAACTACGAAAAGTTAGCACCCTATTTATCAGAGAGCCGTGAATCTCATGATTGTTCTCGATTTATTCCCTGTCGTAGCTGTCATCCCTTTAATCGTTCGAGGCACGAGACTCGCCGGCAATGAATTAGTGGCGGGAAAGACGACATTTGCTAAACGCCAGAGCGCATGCGCTGTCGTCGCAGGATTAGTGAACACGTTCCACGAAGGTCGCATACTTGATCGATGGCCGGATTAACAATTTGTGAACGCATCGTTTAAGAAACCATATTTTTAAAATAAGATATTAGTTTTGGTTTTGTATTAATTGAAATTATGTGTTAAATCTTAAAATTAAATGTTTAAGTTTAAATCTAGGCACCACGTCATGTAGGTAAATAACAATAAATAGCTAGCTACTTGTGTGTGCTACTTTTTAACAAACTTCATAGAAAGGTGGTTGTCTGTTTAACCTGTATATGTGTATGTTTGTACGCGAATATCTTGCGATTGGTTTAACCCATTTTTCCGAAAAGTGTTTGTTATACTTAGAAGAAATTTTTATATAGGTAGGTATTGTATTAATTAACCGACTTCAAAAAAAGAGGTGGTTGAAGTCGATTTTTAAATGTAGTTTATTGTATCCTACAATGTTTTAAGACATTTGGGTTTATAACGGTGTGTGTAGCTTCGTGTGTGTTCTTACAAGGATTAGAAAAATAAATATTTCGTAAAAAATCAAGAGTCACTTTTCCGACCCTTCCGTTCGGATACAAACAAAAAAGTATATCGGTACAAGTGGAACGGAGAAACATAGAAACAAAAAGGTTATAACAATAAACAAGAGAGTTTTACAGTGCGCACACGAGCTGACCAAAAGTTTGCAGCTGTTACGAGTATAAATAAAGTTTATCTCCGGACGTTAAAGAGATGCTCCAGTTTTATTGTTCTCTCGCTGTTCCTTTGTCTTATTTACTACTTCATTACCGACATTAGGAGGTTGTGTTTTACGTAAATTCTAAAATTTCTAGACATTTTTTTACAAAGAAAAATGTTCAATCAACAGTAAAAAAAAGTACTTACTTAATCATCTTACATCATACGCAACACGAAAGTCATTTTATTAATATAATCATTACTCAGCTACTTACATCGAGATATGTCGTGTCTATCGAAAAATTATAAGAAATCATTTAAGTAAATACTTTGTTTTGGCGTCATTAGGTATCTATCGTAGATAAAAATTAGTTTGGGGCCATTATGAAAGGTAAAGATTTCTCACAAGAGATTTTTTTTTGCATATACTACTTACTAATAATTTGTATAAAATCAAAAGAAAATTCTAGACAGCTCCCTCTACCCAAAGTATCGGACTTAGTTATACCGACGGTACTTTAGTTTTTCTAAAGTTTCTCCCAAAGTCCCAATCTGTGGACGCATTCGGGGAAAAAATTGTTTGATTTGACTTTTCAACCGACTTCAAAAAAAGGAGGAGGTTCTCATTCGACTGTACTTTTTTTTTATATGTTTGTTGCTCGATTTCTCGAAGACGACTGGACCGATTTAAAAAATTCATTTTTTGTTTGAAAGAGTAGGTTTGTCATTTGGTCCCATTGTCATGATGTCAGGATCTGATGATGGAATCCCAGGGAAACCGAGGGGAACTTTTAAAAATTATTGGCGAGACTAGTGCATTTGTTAATTTTTGACGTGACAACGTCTTAAATTAGGTTGCGGCTGGGAGTCACTTATGAAAAAGTGTAACGCTCGGTAACGTTACGATGAGTCACCGAACGAGAGAGAGGCCCGCCGAATGCCTTGCGTCTCTCTCCCACTCAACTATGATCGGTCTGCCGCGCGCGCAGCACTAGTTCATTCAATTCCTTGTTCCTATTGTGCAATTTAATTATATTCATATCAATAAATATTCTACCGAGAAAAAGACGTTGTCACGTAAAATCTTCGCCCGTAAAAACGACTTTACAGGCAACCATTTTTTTTTTT